GCGGCGCGGGTGAGGAGCGGCGCCGAGGCGGGCGGCGCGGGCCGAGCGGGGAGGTCTGGGGGCCCAGGATGTGTGCGACGGCCGGTTTGAAGCGAGCGTCTCTTGCGCGTGTTCCTAGGACTGCGAGGAGGGATCTCGCACCGTCTTCGCCGCGGGCCGCCCGGTAAAATGGTGGTTTTCACGTGCAACGCGTGTGGGGAGTCGGTGAAGAAAGCGCAGGTGGAAAAACATGTGAACATCTGCAGAAACTGCCAGTGCCTTTCCTGCATGGACTGCGGCAAGGATTTCTGGTGGGTAAACGGGGAAATAGTGGTTGTCGCGGGATAAACTTTTCGAGTGGTGAATTTGGATAAAACTTGTCAATTTTTGGTTAACCCTAATTTGAATTTGAAAGTACTTGTATTTATTTGTATAATTTCAAGGTTAATCATCCAAGTCTGAGCAGAGCTTCTGGGGTTTTCCTGCATTTGCCGAAAGGTGTGCAGCAAAATTAGCAGTTACTATTGTAGAACTGAAGTGAAAAGAAGCTTTTAGGGTTTTTCCTAATGGTATCTGGACATAGCAACTGCTGTTTATTCTACTGCTGCATAGGGTGAGGTTGAAAGTAGTGTCCAATGGTCTAAACATGGTGTTGGCTGCTCCAAACTCAAAAGAAAGCAGTGCTGTCACTTGCCTTTCAGAATGGGCATGTACAAATTAATTTCTGTAAGAAAGTGAGATTTTCCTGAAAAAGAACTGATAACTTCAGTAATTCATTTAAGAAAGATTAGGATCTGTGCTATGGTTTTTTTTGGAAGCACTTGCACATGGGTCAGAAAATATTCTAACTGTACTATTACAGTTCTAAGTATCTGTATTTCAGAATTAGGCTTTTACAAGCATTTTTTAGTCTGTGTAATTTTAAAATGTTTCTGTTAATGCAAGCAACAAAACACAAATATACACTATTATCTTATTTAAAGATAAGCAAATATTACACGTACCAACATGCAAAAGTTAAAGATTCAGAAGTAAAATGGTCAATTTTCTGGAGACGGAGATCTCCTCTTGCAGATCAGAAATTTCCACTGAAGGCTTTAGCGTGGCAGAAATGCAGCAGGCTTGTAAGCGCACGCTTCGGACATGTTGACTTTACTCATGTAAGCGTGCTGACAGCATTGAGGTGTAATCGTGCATGATGTCACCCATAACTTCAGTTTACTGATTACCTTAATGCTGCAGAGTTGGAGGGGAATTAAACATTTTGGTGAAGTACTGTTAAAAAAATCTCTTGTGTGCAGGGGTGATGATTACAAGGACCATGTGAAGTGCATAAGTGAAGACCAGAAATACGGCGGTAAAGATTTTGAAGCCAAAACTAACAAAGGAGATGCTAAACAGCAGGAGTGGATTCAGGTAACATTTGTAGCATACACAGGTTTAGCAAATAACTATTAATGCTAATTATTAAAGACTTGAGAGGCTTTACCACATCAAACCAAAAATCCATTTTTCCCAATATTCATAACATTCCTTTGGCAATTCTTTAACTGTCTACTCATCCTGGTAAAAAAACATACGTTGTATTTGTTTTGAATCTTCCTCCTACTAGTTCCATTTAATGTCTTGCATGAAAAAGAGGCATTCGTCATTGTCCACCCTCTTTCTGGCATGTTTGCTTTTGTCAACCTCTGTCTCACATCCCTCCTGCCCTACCCCATCATCTCTGTTCTAGGCTCAGAAGTCCTATGCTGCTCACTTACTTGTCAGATATAAATTATATCTTTGGTCATTTGTGCCCCTTTCTGAAGTTTTATCAGTTCTCTTGTACCCCTTTTGAGATGAAGTTACCAGAACATAATTTTCAAGCTATGGATGGGTTTACCTTGTCATAATGGTCTTTATCCTTCTCTGTTCCTTTCCTAATGATCTTTGGCATTTCATCTTCAGTTTTTTTACTGCTGATCATGGTGTTGACGTTTTTGTGTAATTTGCCCAATGTCTTGCTTCTAAGCACCGCTTGTCAGCTTCAAGCCTGAAATTTTGGATGTGAATTTAGGATTATTTTTCCTATGCATGTCACCTTACATGGATTTTTGTATAATTTAATTCACCTTTCTATTTCCAAGTCATTCATTCTCATCAGATCTCTCTGAAACTCCGCGCAGTCCTCATCCCGAATAACTTCATATCATCAGGAAAAGTTTTCCACTGTCTTTTTTTGATCTTTTGTAAATTTTTTGGACAGTATAGACTGCAAGAAATCTTCACTGGAAGGACTATTTTCTCCCGCTTTTTCTGTCCTACCCTTTAACTATTTATTCCACGCAGGAGCCTACTCTTTTATGGCTGCTTAGTTTCCTTAAAAGATTTTGGGAAGGAAATCTCCAATATGTCTTTAGCTGCCCCTCCTGCCTTAGATATAATTAGCTAGATTACCTTTATTCACAGGTTTGTTGTCTTTTCAGAAAACAAATTTGTCAGGGCGCCTCTTTACAAAAGCACTACTGATATTTTTGAAGGAGATTGTATTTATTTAATGAACTTATTCATTGTAGTTTCTTCTGCTGCGCCTGGCAAAATTTCACAGCCTCTCAGAACCTTTTTTTATGACGGTTACTACCTTCTAGAATTCAGATGCTTCCTCACATGATGCTTCTTTAAGGCTATCTCCTTCTTAAAGCATACTGGACAAAACATGTATGTTTAATCTTAAAAGATGATGTCAGAAAATAAGTGGGAAGTCCTGACATTCTAGCAATAAAGCTCTGTTGTCCTGGCCTTGCTTTTGTAGTGACGACACTGCAAATGGAGCAGGCCCTGAACTTTATAGGAGTAGGCCAGTGCATGTCAGCTCTGCTTTTTGGGAGGCTGGAGCTGACACTTAGTTCTTTTTCTGGAAGAAATATTTGTCACATGATATAAAAAGGAGGTAAAAACAAACTCCTCAAGCTTTGTAAGGAGAAATCCTTGAAAAGGCAAGGGAAGATTTTGGTGATCTTTTCAGGTCTTAGGGTGAACTACAAAGGGGACAATGTATTAGGTACATGTGTAGTGTTGCTAGTAAGTAGATGTAACTTTGGAAATGCTATTGTCTGTGCTGTTTAATAGTGCATATGACTGCATTTAGTATCTCCAGCAGAACTATCTGCTCTAAACTAAGAACACAATCAACTGGAGTACTGAGTTACGTGCACAGCCAGGGCATATGAATGATGCCACTAAAGTCAACAAGATCAGTGTCGTTGCTGAGACCGCAAGTTCTCTGATATGGATGCCATTTGAATGAGTTTTTAGCCTTCTGCACAGCTAGATGAGAGATTATTACAAAGCATTCTTGTCTAGGTAGCCTGGCGTTTAGATGAACTCTTCCAGTAGCAGACTATCAGAATTACAGGAAGGCTCTCCAGTGTCCAGTAGCTGCATTTTTAAGACAGGGGAAGCTCAGAGTACAACGTGAACTGTTTTTATTCCCCCCAGCAGCAGTGGTGATTTAAGTATCTCCATCACAAGGCCTGACCGGCCTCCTCTGTTGTTCTGGCACAAACAGCATGTGCCTGACTGTCTGGAGGGGCATTAATAGCAGATGAAGCTGGCAGGACTCTGTAAAGAAGGGTATTTCAAACAATGATCTCAAAGAGAGCTTGCTTTTCACAATTACCTTTGGAAATCTGCCAGTCAGTTGACAGTGTCTTTTCCTGTTAATAGTACTTTTCACAATACAAATTTTCCCTATTTGTTGAAATTACTGTTAGGTGTTAAAAATGTTTTTACCTAGGTTACAAGGTTATATATCAGAAAGCATTGGTGAGCAGTTGTCTTGCCTTCATTTAGTATATTTGCAAATATTTGTACAGATAACTTTGAAACTTATGGGCTCTTATGATAAAGCTAAAGATGAGTATTTTCCTTATGCTTATTGTATGCTTTCAGCAGGGTATACACTCTTTGGGTACTAGGTGATTTCTGTCCCAGGTGCTTCTGACTTGCATACCTTGCATATATCCTTTGACCTGCATCTTCCCTGATTATTTTTTTTTTCTTTATTCAGAAAATTCATGAAGTAATGAGGAAGCCAAACATTAGCCCTAAAGTGCGGAATATTTTAGAGCAAATGCGTGTCTTTGACAATATTCCAAGAAAAAAAGTAAAATTTCAGGTATGTTTTAAGAGAGATTTGTAGTGATCCATGCAGTGAACTTAAAAATAGACTTTCTTAGCAAGTGTCATACTCATTAATGTACTGTACAAACTGCTTGTTTTTGCCTTTTTTTTTCCCTGCACAGAATTGGATGAAGAACAGCTTGAGAATCACTGACAGCACCTTGCAAGACCAAGTGTGGGATATTTTTTCTGAAGCAACCAGAAATGTAAGTGAGGTTAGAGGTACAAGATCTAATAAAAAGAATGCAGTCAGAAATGCTTAAGACCCTTTTAGTCTGCTTTTCAATTTGTTAGCAAAAACATTGTCTCTTGTTGTTACAGTGGACTGTTTTTCATTATTAGATGTTTCATTGTTATAGTGTAATATACCTAGACTAAACTACAAAATTGTGAAGCGTATTGTGTTGCAGTAGCTGTTCATACGGGCAGGTTATGATTAGGCATCGACACAGTGACAAGATTGTGCTAATCAAAAAGCTAATTTAACTTCATTCTATGCTAGTAGTACATAGGGAAAGGACAAAAATAATAGTGCTGTTGTTAATCTTTGGTTCCACTCTTTTACCACACACTAAGATGGAACAGAAAAACCCATTTGCAAACTTTATTTGCCTCAAATTAACATATATCAGAGGAGATAATTAACAGCACCTAATTTAGCCAAACTTTTATAGTGTTAGTGGAAAGAGATGAGGTTCTCCAGTTTGTGGTGTAAATACTTCCCACTTCTGTGTCCAAATTCTGGATTTATGCTGACCTCTTTCTTGGCACCTACTTCCTTGCTATTTCAGAATTATCTTGGTAAGTTTTCTTAGGTTTGTTTTTATTTTATTAGATCTAGTACTGCTTCCCTCTCTGTCGATGTAAAGACACTGCCTCTCCTCCCCTAGTGTCCCTTGAGGAAGAGGCCTGGCTTAGGCACACATCCCTTGCTAATTGCACTGAGTTTCAAATTTAATATATCGTTATAATATTAATATGGGGTTGCTACAAACTCAATAAAGCCATAAACAGCCAATTCTCAATTTGAACTGACTTCTTTTAATAAATCTTGAATCTGAACAATTATTTAAACACAGTTAAATGATTTAAATTTCCCATAGGCTCCAATATTCAATATATATCAACTTGCTCAGAAAATTTTCAATCCACTCTTAAGAGTATATAAATGCTTTGTAATACGTGGTTTGAAGTGTTGTATATACTGAAAAGCACAATTTTTAAATGTAATTTAATTTGAGAATACTGACATGCAAAATGTTAGTATTGTTGCTTAAATAACCAAATATTCTCTTTCCGAACAGCCACATTAACATTCAAATTTAAAAATTCAAATATAACTTGTAAGAAAAGTACAATTAGAAATACCAGACATTACGCAATACCAGCCATATCCCAAAGCAGAAAATTGCAGAGCAAAACTAAGATTGTTGCTTGGATGCGGTATATATGAGAATGGCTGCTTTGATACACTATATTTTTGTCTGCATAAATCACAAAAAAAAGGTCTCTCCTTTAGCTGTATTTAGCAAATCCTTATTTAAAAAAATAGACATTTCTTTAATCTGCACATGCCCTATTGCTTGTATTCTGAAGTCATTCAGAGGGGTGTCTTTGCCTGCTAACTACAGCATTGTAGTTTAGAAAGTACTTAATGTTCTGTCTCACCTTATTCTTACTTTTTGGTACTCACCTAAATCTTTTGTTCCTGGAAATTCTGATGGGATGTTTAAACACAATGTGAATTGCAGAGTTAAATGTCTAACGAATTTTTTTAATGTATTGATATATAATGTAAGATGCATTGTGCTACAGTGAGAAACAAAATTTAAATGTAGCAAAAAAATTATATCTGTTTTAAAATAACATTTCTCTTGTGATGTCTAACTTAGGCTGTTAAGTTAGAAGACTCATCAGCCATACTATGTATTGCTGTTTCCCACATAAGTGGTGTTACTTTGTGTAACCTACTTGTTTGAATTGGGGATGTTAATATTATTCCTGAATGACATAGTAGAGAAAAGTAGTAGTCTAAAAGACCTGTAAAAATTGTAATAACCTGTCTTTTTAACCAAAGAATTCAAGTGATAAAAAACAAGACAAGCCACAACCAAATGAAGAAAGCCAGTCTGCAGAAAGTGGGAAAAAAACAAATGGAGAAGAAAATGGAATTACAGATGACAAAATTGAGAGGAAAAAAAATAAAAGAGAAAGGAAAGAAGAGAGACAAAAGAACAAAAAGAAGGAGAAAAAAGAACTGAAATTAGAAAACCAACTAGCAAGCTCAGAAGCAAAAAAGAATAAGAATAAAAAGTCAAAAAAAGGAAAGGAAAGTATGGGGAATGAATTTGAAATAAATGGAAATGGTCATCAAAGTGAAATGGAAGAAGAAACAAATGTAAAGAAACGCAAACGTAAACACGCAGAAGGTATTTTTCTTAAACATTATGCTTATTGTTTGTTTTCAATACAAATTTTTGCAATGTCTTTAAAGCTCAGTAAGCTACAATAGATTATTTTTTAAGTAATACGTAAATTACACAGGCCTTTTTTGAGCACTATGGTTACACAGTCCTTTCCTTTTACAAAATCTGAACCTTTTAGCAAACAACCTATTACAAGAACAGGAACTTTTAAAGTCACATCTGGATTTTTCTCCT